GGTCCCCGATGTCTCCACCTTTGGGTTGCTTCAAGGCAACACTACAGCTCGGTCCCAAGTCTTGCCTTGCCACAGTCCACGTCCATGAGGGCATCCAAACCCCTCTCTTGTCATGTGGCCATTGTCAGGACTTGGCCATCGTCTCATCCGAGTTCCCAAAGCCCATCCTCGCCGTGACACACCTCAACAGGTGTGCAGAGATACCTGTTTCAGCCATGACCACACCTGCTGCCGCCCGGGAGTTCTTTTTTCGTCAGTTCAGCGACGTCCTTGTCTCCAAGCCCGACCTCCAGAAGACGCCGCTCAAGAAGATGACAGGCCCCCCGATGAGAATCCACCTCAAGCCTGGCGCGACGCCTTTCGCCATCCACACACCCAGGCCTATCCCCTTTGCCATACGGGACAAGGTGAAGGCGGAGCTCGATTCTCTGGTGCAGCAGGGGATCATCAGACACGCCGGTGAGGAGCCCTCCGAGTGGTGCCACCCTATGGTCTTGGCACCCAAGCCTGTAGGTGTTCGCATCACAGTGGACCTCACCCATCTCAACTCGCAGGTCTCCCGTCCCGCCCATCCATCGCCTACGCCCATCCAAGCAGTCCGCAGCGTCACCCCGTCTGCAAAGTTCTTTACCACGGCGGATGCACTACATGGGTACTGGCAAGTCGACCTGGCGGAAGAAGATCGCCACCTCACTACATTCATCACGCCCCACGGCCGCTTCCAACACTGCCGCGGACCCATGGGCTTCGCAGCAACGGGGGATGCGTACTGCCTCCGTGGGGATATGGCTCTGCAGGGTGTCACCAACTGCGTGAAGGTCGTAGATGACATCCTGCTCTTCGACGATGATCTCCCGGCCCACTTGAACCGAGTTCATCTGATGCTCACAAGATGTCGTGCCCATGGTATCACCCTGAACAAAGATAAATTTGTGGTCGCCGCCCCCCAAGTTAACTACTGCGGCTACAACATCTCGCCAGAGGGGATCTCAGCTGATGAGGAGAAGGTCAAGGCCATCAGGGACTTCCCTACTCCAGCGAACCTGACCGACCTTCGCTCATTTATGGGCCTGGTAAATCAGCTGGCCGACTTCTCCCCTAAAATCGCCACATCAGCCCAACCTCTACGCCCCCTCATGAGCCCCAAGCGCTCTTTCCTCTGGACTCCTGACCACGACCTAGCGTTCAGGAATGTTAAGAAGGCGTTGCTGTCACCACCAGTCCTGGCACCCTTCGACCCGTCCTTACCAGTGGTCCTCCAGACCGACGCCTCCCGTCTATACGGCCTCGGATATGCCCTCCTTCAAGACCACGGCCAGGGTAGACTGCGCTTAGTTCAGTGTGGCTCCAGGTTTTTGACGGACACGGAGACCAGATACGCCACCATCGAACTAGAGATGCTGGCAGTCGCCTGGGCTATGGCCAAGTGCCGCCTTTACCTGTTCGGCCTTGGGCATTTCACCCTCATGACGGACCATCGCCCGCTCATACCCATCCTCAATCACTACACGTTGGACGCCATCGAAAATCCTCGCCTCCAACGTCTCAAAGAGAAGACCGCCCCTTACGTCTTTACAGCTGTGTGGCGCGCCGGGAAGCTTCTGTGCATACCAGACGCCCTCTCCCGAGCCCCTGTTAGTCGCCCCACACCTGAAGATGAAGTCGACTGTACCACGGCCGCTGCTCACGTTCGGTCTTTAGTGACACACACAGCCACTTCTCTTGCTGACAAGACGACGACGACGCCCTCCATCGAAGACGATAGGACTCTCCAGGAGCTTCGCATCGCCGCCGCTCAAGACCCGGCATACGTCCAACTCCTCGACTACGTCTCCGCTGGATTCCCCACCAACCGCTACGACATTCACGCCTCCGCCCTCCCCTTCTGGAAGCTAAGGGATAGCCTCTATGCGGACGGAGAGCTGGTGTTGTACGGCCCCAGGATCGTCGTTCCCGCTGCCCTCCGCCGGCGCACCTTATCCCGCCTCCATGACAGCCACCGCGGCGTTGAAGCCACCAGGCGCAGAGCCCGTCAGACCGTCTTCTGGCCTGGTATTGACGCCGATATTAAGAGCACGGTTGAGGCCTGTGAGCCTTGCCAGCAACTCCAACCCAGCCAGCAACAAGAGCCGTACCTGTGCAATGACCTCCCAAAGCGGCCCTTTGAGTCCGTGTCCGCCGACTTCTTTAATGTGGCCGGAAAGTCTTTCCTGGTGGTCGCCGACAGGCTCTCTGGATGGCCCGTGGTAGTTCCCTGTGGTCGGGACACCACCTCTTCCAGGGTCATCCGGATGTTTTGTTGCTTCTTCCGGGAAGTCGGAGTGCCTCTCCGCCTCCGAACCGACGGTGGGCCCCCGTTCAATAGCCACGAGTTCAAGAGCTTCGCCGAACGCTGGGGCGTCCACCACATCGTCACCTCCCCTCATTACCCGCAGGCGAATGGCCACGCCGAGGCAGCGGTAAAGTCCGTAAAATACCTCATCCTCAAGACAGCACCGACGGGGAACCTGGACTGCGAGGAGTTCGACAGGGGCCTACTGGAACTCCGTAACACCCCTACCCCTGCCGGACGCTCTCCTGCCCAGGTGTTGTATGGCCGCCCCCTTCGTACTTGTGTGCCTGCCCACCCCCAGTCCTTCTTAGATGAATGGCAGATCAAGGCGGACGAGTGTGACCGCCGTGAGGCTGCCCGGATGGCCCAAGTGACAAGCCACTATGACGCCCAAGCCCGCACCCTTCCCAGGTTGGCCGTCGGCCAGCAAGTACGAATCCAGGACCCGACGTCACACCGCTGGGACAAGGTCGGGGTCGTCATGGGCCGTGGCGAGTCTCGTTCGTACCAAGTCCGCCTCCCCAGTGGTCGTGTGTGGTGGCGAAACAGACGCCATCTCCGCCCAGTGCCATCCGCTAGTGACGAACCTTCCTCCCCGTCCCCTGTGTCCCCTTGCCCAGACCAGGAACGAAGGTCTTCAGTTGATCCTCCCATTGTCCCTCGCCGCTCCCCCAGACTCATGGAAAAAGAGTCCGTAGCCGCTCGAGATTGCACTACGAGCGTAAAGGGGGAGGGAGGTGTATAGATATGTACATAACAAGATATGTGAACACGCCTGACGCCAAGACTCTGTTACCATTCATTGTACCATTTATTCACATGTCTGTATTACTACATATTATTATAGCATGTCTGATATCTATGCTTATGTCTAATGCCTATGTCCATTTACTATGTCCCGATGTACTATGTCTGTACCGCGCTAGTCGAGTAATTAGAAGACCTCATTTATTGTCCTAGTAATGTCTAGCAACTCTCCTTGCCTAGCTAGCTAATTTCCCTCAGATCGGCTTCGGCCTGCCTACGACGAGGAGTTCCTTGTGCTGGCTCCTGTTCCTGTACCGGTTGGCTATCACGCCAAGTCTTGTACCACTTGTTGAATATATCTACTGCTCGTGCCCTGGAGTTTCAAGAACCTCGTCTAGGATTACATCCACCACACTTACTACTGAAGACTTGCTGCAACTGGATGAGATGTTAGAAGCTGACAGTGGTGAGGAGGAAAGGGAAAGTGATGACCATGTGTCTTCTTCAGATTTGAAGGATGTTGTGTACCACTGGGAGATGTTCAGGAAACTGACATCAAGGCACCCTGATGTGGAAACAACAGAACCTGTTTTGTTTAGTGTTGAGGACAAAGTGCTCTCCTTCCTCAGAAATCACTTAATGATGAGGAGGAGAAATGCCCCACAAACCAAAATTGACACTTTCTTCACTAAAAGGCAGCAGGAAAAAGATGCTAGCCCTCAACTTTCCACTTCAAAAAGGAGAGGGAATTTTCCTGCTGCAGAATCTGTCAGTCCAGAGGTTCCTGACATTTTCATGGAAGGTGACTCACCTTCCAAGAAGCAGTAAAATGCTTCTCCTCCACCCCCACTTCCTTCTTTTCTCCCTTCTCCTCCACCTCCCTCTTCAAATTCATATCAGCATCATCAACCAGGAGCTTTCTACATACACACCTCAAAGTGTGAGCTGGAACCAATTACCCAAAATCCCATTGAAACAATGGTTCCGGTTAACGAACTACCTTCTGGAACGAATTGTGTTCGTTAACCGAGGGACCACTTTACTGTATAATATATATTTTGTATATATTTTGGAACCTTATGCTATTACAGAAATGTTCTATGGAATTAAGTAATTTTGTATAATCAAGTGGAGCAGAAGTCTACTCCAACATTGCCATGTACTTAACAAATTATTATACTTCACAGTGGATGTCTGGAAGTGCCCAGAGTCCAGTATTGCACACCTTAACTTTGGCTTACTCAACCTCACACAACAATAAGACCAAATTTAGGCATTAACCTTCTTCATGTTAGGTTCATTAACAGCTTTTATCTTCAGATTAATTTTGGTTATAAGTGTCTGCTTGTCAACTTACGACATACTCGACCTACGACCACCCAGACATAAGACCGCCTCAGTCGTACCAAAATTTGTTTCAAATTACGTATTTTCGACTCCCAACGTTAGTGATTGCGCTCTGTACTGACAAAATTTTCGTTTGTAATTCCCTTTAAAATGGCTGGCGAGCTTAAAAGTGAGAGTTTTGTTGTGTAGAGAAGAAAAAGAGACCCATTTTAGATTTTCTATGTATTATTTAAGCATTTTCGACTGACGACCAATTCGACTTACGACCTGGATTTGTGTCCCTAACCCTGTTGTAAGTCGAGGAGCAGCTGTAACTGCTTTCACAGATTCTTTGACTTTGTTAAGCGAGTTGTTCCTCTTTATTTGCAGCCCAGCTGAATAATACTCGTCTGTTCAATTTTTCACTGCCTTCTTAGATGTTTGGTCTTGTCACTTAAATACAGTACAGGGTATACTGAAATCATTGGTTACTGGAAAATTTGGGAAGTATTTTGCCTGTGCCATTGTAGTTAAGGAAATATTAATTGTAGATGTACAGTATTTTAATAGTAGCTAATTGTGATATATTTTCCAGGTGTGAGAAGTGCGAGACCAAGTCAATATGGTTGCCAGGAGTACACAGAAGATAACAAGTATCGATGTGGACCAGTAACACAATGCTTGCTCACTCTTCAGTACAGCTCATTCTCAACACCATGGTATACCACCACAACATTAAACAGCAACAGCAGCAAGCAAGTGACTGGCATAGACAGTGGGAAGATTTACAATACTGGATGTGTGGGAAATGGAAACAGGATCATATTATTTCAGTTTGCTCAACTATGTACTGATCTCCAAGAGAGAAAACAGAAATGGAGTAGAAGTGGAATTGGAGATAAACTTACAACTAATCGTATGAGGAGGCCTCCTCCCTGGCACTGGGAGATACTCCTTAACCAACATCGCCAAGAAAACCCAAGAAGAAACAGGAACAAGTGGGAGAAGAGAGAGGAGAGACAAGAATGGGATAGAGCATGTCATTGGCAGCAGCGAAAGCGGTTTCTGTTTACGCATTCAGTTTTTCAGTCATTGGGATGGGTAAGTGACTTTACATCAGTTTTTCTTAGAGAACTTTTGTGATATTTCTGACCTCTTTGATTGTACTGTACAATCCACATATAGCAGCCAAATGGCTTTTTGTTTAATTAATTATATCATACAGCTACATAGAATGAATACCGGTGTAGCATTCTACTCTAGTTATAGAAAATTGTACAGTAATACCTCAATTTACGCGGTCAATTGAACCCGCGGAGGTCCGCGTAAAACGAGAAACGCGTAAATGGACTAACAGAACATATGGGATTAATTGAAATAGAGACTGGGCCGACCCCCAAACTCCACTTTTTGCCTACACAATACGTACGTTGTAGTAAAAATAACATCTCAACTTTATGATGGTATGCACACTCACATAGTATAGAAGAGAAATATCAATTAGAGAATAATATACTGTACCAGGTAAAAGAAAAATCAAGGTTTAACACCTACGTCAGGTTAGGTTAGGTTAGAAAAAATCAAGGTTTAACACTTACGTAAGGTTAGGTTATGTTTTAAAAAATCAAGGTTTAACACTTACCTAAGGTTAGGTTATGTTAGGAAAAATCAAGGTTAGGTTTAACACTTACGTTAGTAGAAGAGATGGGTCGGCGTATGGGAATGGCGGCTGGTTCCGAGGCAGAGGGCAGATTACTGGCCCTCAGGTGAATCACTATCACTGTGCTCCATAGTTGTCAGTGCCTCCCTGACAAATCCCTCAAAGTCACCATCACTGTCACTATCACTGGCTTGGGCTGGCTGTGGTGGGTTGCGGGCGAAAAACTCGGTAATGCTTTGTTGATGGCTAGTGTTGATGTTGTCGTGATACACCACCTGCCTCTTCACTGACGTCATCATCATCTAGCATCTCGTCGGCAGTCACCTCAGGATCCCTTATCACCTCCATAATGTCGTCGTTGGTGGTCTCAGAGAAGCCTTTAGCTGTAACACTCTGCGCAGCTTGTTTCTCTTCTTGCAAGGTCCACTGCTACTGCAACAGTCTGAACCTCACCAGTCACCGATTGACTCTGCCTCCCACCTGGAATGCCTTGCAACACATGTCTCCATGCATGACGAACCGTTGCTACAGACAGCTGATCCCATGCCTCCACCAAGAAGTCCACATCTTTCTTGATGTTAAATTTCTTCCAAAACTGTTTGACGAGAACTTCTTCATCCGCCAACTGTTGTTCCTCGTCCTCGTTGCTCTCGCTATCGGTGTCACCCAGGTTATGCAACTCATCCTTGGTGTTGGTACAGTCGTTCAGGAGCTTAAACTTCTTTGCAGAGTATGCAGCTTTCACATTGCAGATTAACTCCGGGTCCAGGGGCTGGATTAATGACGTAGTGTTGGGAGGAAGGAAGACCACTTTTACATTGGGGTGACGATCCAACAGTAGGGGCGAGTGTCCTGGTGCTTTGTCAAGGAGCAACAAAATGTTGAATGAAACATTCTGTTGCTCGCAGAATTTCTTCACGTCGCGAACGAAACATTCATCAAACCAGGAAAGTGACAGAGCAGAGAACATCCATGCCTTACATCCGGTTAGCCAGTGGACATTTAGCTTGGTCATGTTCATGTTCTTGTAGGCGTGCGGCTTGCGGGCTGTGTGGATCACCGATAACTTGAGTTTACAGGAACCTGAGGCATTGGTGGTAAAGAGGACGGTGATGCGCTCCTTCTGCAACTTCCGGCCCCGACACTTGCTGGCAGACTGGACAACGAAGGTCTTGGAAGGTAGGTTTTTCCAAAACAGACCAGATTCATCCATGTTGAACACCTGGTCGTCGGTGTACTGTCCTTCCTCCATAACCTCACGTAAGAATGGAGGAAAATCACTAGCCGCCACAACGTCAGCACTCGCTTCTTCACCACCAATGTTAATGTTGCTGATCTTGTTCCTCTTCTTAAACCTTTGCAGCTACCCAGAGGAAGCATTGAAGGGTTTGGGCTCTGCAATTCCCATCTTACGTGCCACTGCTGCGTACAGTTCACGTGCATACTCTTGAACTGACCGCGTGTCCAGTGCCATGTTGCGTCAAGCCTGATGAATCAAGTAGCTCACCAGCAAATTTTCAGTCTTGAGCCGCTCCTTGTTCTAACAATACTTGATCATTGAAGCACCTGCAGACTTTGTGATGTTCATGTGTTCTTTTATCTTGGCTGCATCCTTCTTTATCATCCGGATCGTAGATTCGTTCACGCCATGCTGGCGAGCCAAATCTACTTGTTTTGTTCCTTTCTCCAACTCTTGAATAATCTTGTACTTCACATCGTAGCTTAGGGAACGTCTTATCTTCTTTGGCTTAGGGCGGCTGGGTCCAGGTAATACAAGGTTTTTCTGTGGTGGTGGTGGTCCGGTGGCAGCCATTTTTACGGAACAATAGATACTGGTATACACGGTGTAGCTTGGAGGGATGTAACTGACGCGGCTAGGTCAAGCGTCGTCTGCCCTCCCTCCCGCAGGTGGGCACGTCATATTACATTAAACCAATCACAGCTAGCGGCGGAGGGAGGTAAGGATGCGTGGCCAAATCACAGTCCGATACGTCATATGACGTCACCGATAACGCAACAGAAACATCCACTGCGCAACCTACCCGCGCCGCTTGTCCAAGCATGACGGGAGATGGCGGGAGGTTTGAATCCAAAAATGGCGGCGCGGCAGGACCGCCAGCTGCTCTCCGCGTATGTGAGTAGATGCACTGCGTAAAGTGGGCATTCGGTTCTGGCGGGTTACCGCGTAAATGTGGAAATGTGTAAACGAGAACCGCGTAAACCGAGGTATTACTGTATGTAGTAAATATTTTAGCTTTGTACATTTAATTATTGTAATGGTTTTCACATGATTAATCAGAAAAAAATCCCTGTGATTAACCATAAAACTGTATTTTTTTACTTAATTTTAATTGAGTGTTTTTATAAACCTTAGGCAAGTCTTAATACTCCAAGAGCATCAGGGGATGGTGCTCCCCTTGTAGTGGGCTTACCCCTGGACCCTTCTGAGGCCCTGGGCAGCCAATACAGTATAGTGAAATCGGATGCAGTATTGGATATTAAACAAAGAATTATACTGTATGTTTAAACTTTTCAGTAATAAAGTACTTATTAATTTACAGGGTTCAGCTGTTGTACTAACTTGGTCCATATATAATGACTGGGGCAACCACCCATACAGTTATCACTGGAACACAAGGAGACAATGCAAAGAAATTTTTCTTAGTCAAAGTGAGGAAGAAATTAATTCCAAGCCTAAAACCAATGACAGTGAACAGCATCAGCACAATAAGGAAGGTGAAGACCAATATTGCTACAGTGTTAGCCAGTCTGGTTGCCTTGGTGACCACAACTGCCAGTGTCCCCAGCACACATTATACAAAGAAAATTTTTGCAGCCAACAAAGCCAGAATTTTTTCTGTCCTGAGACTAACAGGTCTCTCTTCAGTTTTCTGTGGAGCTCTTCTGAACATAAATTCTTAATAGAACAACCAACAGATACACTGTCAGATGTTCTTGATATTCCAGAAATTCAAGAATTCCAAGATAAAGACAGAATAGAACTACCTGTAGTTCAAAGTAAATTCTCTGTGGAAGTACAACCAAAAGATTCACTGTCAGATGTTCTTGATACTCGAGACATTCACTCAAATATTCAAGAATTCCAAGGTCATAAGAGACTAGAATTGCAACAGGACTATGAAAATGAAACAGAGCTGTCCATAGAGGGAGAAGCCCAGGTGTGTGAGCAAGATGAGGACTCTGGACGGCCTGTAAAAGGAGATTTGAAATGTAGTCTAAATTCTGAGCTGTGTAATAGTTTGCCGGCATCAGGTTTGGAACAAGATGCCATAAATACGAGTGATGGTCTAGGCTTACTCCAAGGAGAAACTTTATTTGAGGAGAATGGGATTGTTGAGTGCATGAAAGTCTCAAGAGAAATTAAAGGATCAGAAGAATGTGTGCCATGTGGCTCAGGCATTTTAACAAAGCCTCAAGCTGTAAGGAGTGAGGAGGTGAAAATTAAGGACTGTACCTCTGATGACAGTGGCCAAAGTACATCAACATCTTCAAACTCTTCATCACACCAGCTTGACAAGATGACTATTGAAGAATTCAGTGACAGCTTAACAAAGGTACAGTTTTCCACAAAACATACTTTTTTGTTCATTTAAATCTTACAGAAATGTAGTCACCTTCAGAAAATATGTGAATTTGGTGCATAAAGTTTATTCTTAAAACTAATACAGTAGAGTATATTCATGAATTCCCTTTTATAATAAGTGATAGAAACCTAGGCTGTACAGCACTGTATTTACAAATACAGTGCTGTACTACTGTACTTTTTATTATTTTGAGCTAGATAAATTTTGCAAAGTGAATTCACAGGAGTTCAGAAGATCACTAGCAATGTTACTGTTACAATTTTATTTGTTTTAGTTTTTTATTTTTTTTATTTATTTATTTATTTTATTTTTTTTTTTTGTGAAGGGGGGTGAGAAACTATTGATCTATTGAAAATGAACTCTCAAATTTCAATAGAACAACATTGTCAACAATCGGAGATTTACCACTGCATTCAGTACAGGTATCCCTCACTTAACAAACGTTTGAGATACGAAAATTCACCATTAAAAAGTTCCTACCTTAACACCTCTTTCTTATTTAACGAAAGCTACCCTCGCTTATAAAAATTTTGGTTGGGGCAAAATTTAAAATTGTACAGCCCTGGGAGTCAGCATTCTCGCTCACTAATCATAACAAATCCCTTTCCCTCCCACATCTCCCCCTAGCCTGCATCTTCCATTTGCAATTCCCCACTCCTTGTGGTAAGCCATGACTGCCCTCCCTTAAGATGATCGCTCCCACAAGGTTGGTGGTGTGCTTATTTAAGTGTTACACTTAACATCGCTGGTGGCATTGTTGTCAAGTTAGCAAGTTAGATTCGTCACCACCAGGCCGAGCTGTAAACCATGTTATGGTTATTTTTCAACTCGTAATTTTAGGTACCGTATATACTCGTCTATAACCCCCCTTCGTATATAGGTCGACGTAGATAACTTAATCCACTTTATTTATTTTTTTCAGAGTTACATGCACACAATGTGCTAAAAGATTAAAAAATAGCTATCATAAGGTAAAAAAAAACATAGAGAAATAAAAAAAATTGCGCAGTTAGTGCATATTTAGGGAGTGGGAGTGTGGGAGCCCCATTGCTAAGGGTTGGCAGTGAAACACTGTCCCCATTGAGCTTGTGTTGTTATGGTGAGCTTTGAGGCCAAGTGCAGCCAGTGGCTTAAAAGTGGCAGTTGTGTTAAACTTAATTTTAATTCTCCTCGGCTGGGTTTTAGCTGCATATTTTCATCTTGAAGTAATGTATGCAAATGTTGCTTGAAGTAGCACAATTGTTAAATAGTGTACAGTGTGGTCCTCTGTTAATGAACACACCTGCTCCACAGAGTCGCTTAGCAACCGGTACCTCAAGTGTAACTGAGTCTATTATTTCAATGGGACATAGGTAATTGGTCTAACCTATGTGCAAGTACATACAAGCATGTACTGTATGCTACTCAGGAAGCTAGAATTAACAAAAATATTAAATATATACCAATAGTACTGTATTGTACAGAGTGCTGAAAATATATAATAATAAAAAACAATTGAATACTGTATTTAACTTACTTTGAGGTGTATGTTGTATTCTGGCAGCTTTGTTTTATGGCGATCAAACAGCTGTCAGGAGAGGCAGTCGATGATATTACATTCTTTACAGAGTGCATTGGTTCTAATGCCTTCGTGTTCTTCATAATCAATTTCTGCACCGTATATTATCAATATGTTAACTAAAATTTCAGAATGACCAATACCTTTATGCGTAAAATGCAAAAAATATTCAAGAGACCAATGTAATCGGAGCAATTACTCCACTAAACAAAGTTAAACTGACAAGTGTTGTTGTGTATCTAATCATTTATGATGGGGTACACAAAACCGTTCCTGTAATTGCTCCATTATTTAACATAAACTGAATTTCAAAATACCAATAATACTTTAATATAAAAAATGGAAATGTTCTATATATCAACATTCTTGATATTTATTCCACTGAAACTAATGCAAACGTGAGAACCAACTACTAGATATAGATTAGTTGATCAGCTTATACACAACAAAATGTGTTTGTCGAAGCGATTTCGTTATTTAGTTTTGCTTGTTAATCTAACTGGAAAATCTCCATGGGAGCTAATTAACCAAAAATTTCGCTAATCTAACCATTCATTAACCGAGGGACCACTGTAAGTACAGAATACAGTGTATCAGTATCATGTTCCGCACGGTAGACCTCGACTTATTTACTACGCCGTGGATTCTACGCATCGTCGGGCCACGCATCATCAAAGAGATTTTTAGTTAAAAATTTTTTTCAAATGACACACGATTTTCGCGTCGTAAAAATGCTTCCAAGTTAATGTAGTTCCATGTGGTTAAATGCTAGAAAATTATGGGGCCCCTGCAGTATTCCAGTTGACTACATTAAAGGTAAGTGCTGTCACACTGTAACCATTCTTGCTGATGTTACCACTGTACTGTATCCATTCATCATTATTCATTACTATTACTGTATTGTATTTTACTGTAGTATTTTTTATTAAAAAAAAAAAAATTTTTTTATACATTCTATGTCGACTTACTACCTGGATTGGTCCCTGAACCCCACGTAAGTCGGGTCTAGGGTGTACATATGAAACAACTTCTAAATAACGAGACTTATAGCCATAGAAGCTGATCCCATGGTTGCCAGATATGGGAGCTTCAACCAGTAATTTCGTATATTATTCATGTTTTTAATGCTTATAGGATGGTAGCTAAATGCAGTCGTTTGCATTATAGTGCATTTTTTTCTCAGCTGAGAAAAAGATGCCCCGCCTCTCGCTAAGAGTTACAGCTGATTGGCTTTTGCCATGTTCGATTTCGCCATGAAGTAATGATGCACAGTCGGCCCTTCATGGTTTAGCATTCACGGA